TTATGTGTATGAGTGTATTGCCTGCATGTATGTGAGTGCACCCATGTCGTGCAATGCCACAGAGGTCAGAAGAGGGCTTCGGATTCCCCTGGACCTGGAGTTAAGGACAGTTTGTAGCTGCCATGTAGGTGCTGGGAATCAAACCCGGGTCCTCTGCAAGAACAGTCAGTGCCCTTAACTGTTGAGCCATCTCTCCAGCCCTGATATTCATTCATGTTTTTACATGTGCCAACAGCTCATTCAAAAGTTTTGCTTTCTGGAGCTGAGGAAATAGCTCAGTCAGTAAAGTGCTTGCCTTGAAAGCATGAGGACCTGTGTGTGAGACCCAGAACCCATGTAAAAAAAAAAAGCCATACATGGTGGTGTGTGTCTGTAATCTCAGCATTGGGGAGACAGAGACAGGAGGATGCTTGGGGCTTGCTGGCCAGCCAAGCCTAGCCTAATCCATTAGTTCTGGGCCAAATGGGACCCGTCTCAAAAAATAAGGTAGATGGTACCTGAGGAATGACACATGAGGTTGACCTCTGGCCTCCATGCACAGGTGCACCTGCATACAAATACAGGTGGAGGAATTCCTCTTTAAGGAGGAATGCAGGATACAGGCTGAGAGGAATGCAAATGCCAATCCACCGGTCCCCATTACTTTTGAGATGTTGACTGGTTCAAGTGACCGTTATGCCACAGAGGAGCAACAGTCGGGCATTCCAGCCCCATATACAGAACAGGTCAGGGTCATAGGATTAAATGCTTGGAGAAAATTGGATGAGGGGCCTACCGAATCCCCCCTTGCAGGAATTAATCAAAAGCCTGGTGAACCCCTCTACGAGTTTATAGACAGAGTGGAGAAGAGCTTAAAACGAAAATTGCCCCCAGGCCCATTGAGGGAGCAATTCACTAAACTCTTGGTAGGGGATAGAATGGATGCTGATCACAAGATAGCCTGTGCTGGCCTTAAGGACAGGTCCATGGTACAATGGATAATTGCCTCCAAGGAGGTGGGAACCCAGAGGGGGCAAACCAAAGCCATGGCTGCTGTCTTACAGACGCAAACATAGTCTCTGACCCATGCCTTAACCCAGGCATTTAATTCACTTAATTTGGGTCAGCAGGTAACAATGGGGCCTAGAGGGATAGAAGGTCCATGTTTTGGCTGTGGCCAGACTGGCCATATTAAAAGAAATTGCCCTCAGCAAGAGAACTGGCCTAAGCCTTGAGGTGGGGTATCAAAAAGACCCCCATCTATGCCCTGTTTCTGGTGTTGCAAAGGGCTCCATTGGCAAAAGGAATGTAAATCCAGATTTGATATTGAAGGAAAGCATTTAAACTAAGTGGGGGGCAGCCTCCAGCCCCGTTGACAAAAGGAGGACTTCCCCATGATCAGCTACATTTACAATGCCCTCAGGGAGGGATCGGGAGAGGAGAAAAATCTATGGCGAATTAGACAGTCCCTATTATCCCTGGTGTAAACCCCAAGATGGATCTTGAAATAGGTGGCAGGAGGTTTCGCTGCCTAGTGGACATGGGGGCTGATAGAACCATTCTTAGAAAGGAGGAGGTCCCATCATGATGGTACCTAGTTTCTGGGCCCTGAATCCTAGGTGTGGGAGGATACACCCCATCAGAGGAGACTAGAGAATGGCTCACCTGGCAGGATGCAGATGGAGCTAAAGGGGAGGTGCGACCCCTGGTGG